GCATGTGAGCTAGTCCAGGCAGGCAATTTGCAATTTTTACTCGATCTTTACATGTTTTTGTCGTGTTTTGTCGACTGCTGATGGATGTTTCTGCTGGGAGAGGAGCTTGTTCATGAGGGGAGCGTCTTTCATTGAGACAGATCATCTAAAATGTTTTTCGTGTCAACCATGCTGGTGAACATTGAGTTGCATGTATTTCTGTTTTTTAGATATGACTCCTCTTCCTCTCTGACATAAGGAAGGCAGGTTTTATGATCAGTACAGCTGCAAGTCAGTCAGGTGAGCCCCTCTTTATTTTGGTTTCACTCTTGTGTAGCTGACATATTATCCATTATTATATCTGAGTTTAGGTATCGTTACTCTGGCAGTTTAAAGGGATATTCCGGCATAAACTTAATTTAGGGTCAAACACACCTGAGTTAGACAACCACTTGAAAGATGATGTTGCCGACCGCTTGCTTCTCTAGTTATACCAACTTTAGTAACAATCGCACGATAGCAATACACAGCAGTCTCATGAGCCACGCTCACACCTCAACCAAAGCGCCACTCTATAGTCACAAATAATGCTCAGAACAGCACCTAACTTCATCAACAGTACATATAGGGTCCCAGCCACAGCACTAGCCACCAAACATCTTTTTAGCTTTGCCTGATTTCTTTAGCAAAGAGACTAAACACAACTCAACTACTCTCTTCCAGCAGCCGCTTGTTTGTAGCAAGACCTCGAATCAGTCTATTACGGACTACAGCGGGGTGACGCAGCTCAAGGAAGAACTTTTATGATCATTTCTTCATGGAAATGTACTTTTGATGAGTTTAGGTGCTGTTCTGAGCATTATTTGTGGCTATAGATTAGCATTTTGTTCGTGACCGCTGTGTATTGCTATCATGTGGTCGTTACTAAAGTTGGTATAACTAGAGAAGCAAACAGTCAGCAACATTCATCTCTCGACGGGATGTCTAACTCTGTGTTACGGTGTGTTTGATCTAAATTAATTTTACGCCGGAATATCCCTTTAAATGTCATGTTGATTATTTGTTTTTCATTTCTTCATAGTGCTTAAAGCCTTGTTGTAACTTAGCTTACTTGACTATTTTACACTGACCCATAGCAGTTGTTATTTTTTGGGGGACTTTTTTTTCGTCATATTAACTGCAAATGACCAAAGTTTACTCAGGAAGATTTCAAATGGGCTCAAAGTGAAATAATTATTACATTAAAGGCTGATTTTGTAGCTGTTAGAAAGAATTCTTTGCATCTGTTTGCATCTGGGTCAGACGTATTTGTTATGCATGTGAAGCTCTCTAAGAGTTCATATCGTGACTGTATGTACATCTTCGTGTACACGTACATACCCACCAGCAGCATTTCGTGACTGGCTGTCCCTGAGAGAATACAGTATGTGTGACAGGATGCAGAGCACAATAATGGCGGTTTTAGAGTAGGCCACAGTGTCAGCAACTTCAACCCCACTGACCTCCCAGCATCCCTGCACGCAGCCCTGGTCTCTACTGTGTGGATTTAATGTATTCAAGCTCTGTGATGCCTCGGCCAAATCTCATTATCTCTCCACATGCATGTACCGTATGGCTATGCGTGCCCTCATGCATTAATGTGGCACACTGCATTAATGTATAAGTGGAGGAGTAAGCTGAGTGCACGATAGCTGACGTGCAGCGCAGCCTGGAAAACGTCTTTTACTGTATCTATGCCGAAGAGGGGGGAGGCAGAGGGAGTTTTCGCCCTGTTTAAACCTCACTTTTTAAATGAATTACAGGCCCTCCAGGCGCAAACATGGCGATAAGAGGGTCAGTCAATCAGCGATGTCTGACCAAAGAGCTTTTTTAAAATTGCAGCAGTGACCTGAGACTGACTGATAACGGGAAAAAGTCAGGGGGACAAAAAGAAGGCTATCACTGTCAGGCACAACAGCCCTCAAATTATCAGCAGAACCCATTCATCTTCCTGACAGCAGAGGTGCCAAAAGGTGAATGAAATGTGCAATATTTTGGTTTTTGATGTATGTTGAAAGTCTTGGATAGGCCTCATAGAGCCTATTATTTTTGTTTTCTATTCAACACCTTGAAAAAGTTAGATCGAAGTAGAAAAAGTAATCATACTTAACAAACAGAAAGAGGGTTATAGCTCAGAGTTACAGCTTTCAGTGCTGCTTACACAGACAATCATCGGACAATATAGTAACAGCTCATTTAAATGCAGTGCCATGATACACCGTCCTTATCTGCCAAACTTTTGCTCGCAGTGACGCTTTTTGCCTCAGCCTTGAAAGGACCAAAGTCGCATCACTCAGCTGCCTTACAGACGATATTACACTGAATAGAGTATGTGCAAGGTGCTCTATTATTTGGTTCTGCAGTATATCAGACATCAATTTGTCTCGCTGTCTCAGGTTGCTGGTGGTGAATGTCTTCACTCAGGCATAAGTTGCTCTAACGCAGCAGCACGGTGGGAACGATCTGATAAGAAAATCTGATTGACCTGGGACGCCGCTCAAAGATCTTTAAAGATCTTTTCAAAGTTTTTGTCAATATTCCAGAGTGGGAAATTGAACTCCAAATAAGCCAAGTAGGGTTAGCTAATCCTTGTTTGACTATTAACTGGAAGAGCAGCAAACTTTGACTCTTGCGCTAACAGCTTAAATTCAACCTTCCTGACTTGAGTCAAATATCTTGCATCAAGACTCGGGCTGCACGCCGTTGCCGTCTGATAGCTAGCTTTAGCTTTAACCTACTGGGTCAATATCCAAAGTCTCTCGAGCATTAAGGTTAAAAGGAGTGGGACGATGGTGAAAAATTGATTGTGAACCTTGATAATTTGTATTTGCCTAGACTTTGACTTTTATAAAATCCATGGACAATATTTCCATCAAAACAAAATCCCTGCTTTTCAAAGCTAAAATGCCATGAGATGGTTTCGCCAACACAAAGTTTGTATGCGTATAAATCATACAATATATGTTGAGTTAAATAGGCACATTTTCTTCTCAGGTTTAAACTTGTAATTACAGACTTCTTGTGCCCCAGTGCCTGGTCGTACTAGGGGCTAATACCCCTCAATCCCCCCTTATCCTGCGTCCATGGCCATACTGGATCTACATTAACAGTGAGTTACACACCCCCTTGAGAGATAATGTTGCTTCTCTGGTTATACTAACTTTAGTAACGACCGCAGATAGCAATACACAGTGGTCCAAGGAGCCATACACAAACTAGCTATCAGAGGATCCACATTTTTTGACTTATGGACAATATTTCCGTCAAAACAAAATCCCTGCTTTTCGAAACTATAATGCCATGAGACGGTTTCGCCAAGACAAAATACACTTTTAGGCACTCTTTCTTCTAGTTACCAAATACTCATGTTTGAACTTGTAATTACAGACTGCTTGTGCCCCAGTGCCTGGCCGTACTAGGGGCTAATACCCCTCAACCCCCCCCTTATCCTGCGTCCATGGCCATACTGGATCTACATTAATCACATGGCTTTGCAATCCTAATTATATATGGCAGTGTGTGTGTGTGTATGTGTATGTGAATTCATGCTTATGTATGTGTGTCATCTATAGGGGAGGAAGGAGGAGGGAGTTGAAATGGGAGAGATTCCAGATTTAATGAGAAAGTGAGACAGAGATAGAGATAAATGGATTAAAGTACGCTGGCTCATACTCCCCAACCAGCTCAACCCTCTTTGTTTCACAGACTGATCATGGACCCCGCACTGTGATCATGCAACAAACCTTTGATCGAATGCATGTCCTGTTCCCGCACGGTTCCCTCTGCATCATACATTTGTAATGCTATGCAGAGGATAAACTGCACGTATGACTCTCAGCGGCTCTCTCGCTGAATCAGATCAGTAATGACTTGACTCAATAAAGAGGATAAATACAATTAAATTTGCACTTTTAAAAAAAAAATCTGACCTCTTGTAACTTTTGCTCTTTTCCTCTATAATCAACAGTGCATGATTAATAATGAAATAATTTGTTAGGAGGTAAATTCAAACAAACAAACAAAAAAATCATGTTTCTGGGTTTAAAGTAGGTTAAGGAGGTGTGAATGGTTTACCAATGAGTCATTTTGGTCTCTTCTGTAAATGACTAAGCAAATAGCTGATCCCTAATGACAGAATAGGACATATTATGGGAGCAGTGGGGTCAGAGGAGGTATGTTTAAAAACAAACAAAAGTGGGAAAAAAAGTAGACAGATTAACGCTGAAATGAACATCCTGGAACATCCCGAGAAACTGCACGAGAGGCAGGTGTGACGTCACCAAGCCCAGGGTATTTTTTTATTTTTATTTTTTTTTTTTTTTTTTAAAACGAGACTTTCCATGTAAAAACATTCCTCTTTTTCAATGAAAAACTCAACAGGGGAACAACTTTGACGCGTCCGTTCAACAGTGGGCAGTGAAAGCATCAACGTGTGTTTTGACATTTATTAGGAACATTTTGTTCATTACATTGTTTTTCAACATTACATCGTTTGGCAATCGATCACCGATGGAGGCATCCTGCTGAAATGAAACCCGCTGCCGGTGTCAGAAACATCAGTGTCGGTTTTCTGGCTTTGCCTTTTAAAAACCGAACTTCACAGAAACACCAGCGCGACACATCAGCCTGGATGCACACATACACAAACTACACTCACACATACACACTTGAACACACATGCACACTAGTAAGGATTGTAGAAAAATAGAGTGATCACTAATTGAATCCAGTTTCCATACAAAAAATAAGACAATCGCTATGAGAATTAAGGTCAATACACGCACAATATACCAGCCTACAGCCTAAGGTACAGGCTTTAACATGACTTTAGGCTATTTGTCAAAGAGTCCTGAATGTCTTAATGCAGGAAAACAACATCATGTGCCATAATGTGAGAACATCTGGTAGCAGCATTGGAATATCTCGCACTGTGAGTTGGACATTGAAGCAGAATGAGCAGCAGGCAGTTCAGCATCTTTAAACTACACATGGAGCACCGCTGTTTGGGAATTCACCAGACCGTTCCTGTATTGCTCCAGCCAGTTTTTAAGCTCGGAAATCCGGTATCCCTCTGGACCCCTGCCCCCCTGGTACACCACCCTCTCATCCCTCACGATGTAAAGTCTCTCAAAGTAGGCTCCGTACGCGGCGTTGGACGAGTTGTCCATATTATCCACCACCACGTTACTGCCCGGCACCTCAGCCAGCATCAGCTGGGCGGCTCTCAGTCTGTCCTCTATGCAGCGGTGCTTGGGGATCTGGTAAGGAGCGTCCGAGCTCACCCAGCCGTCCGACGGATGCGCCTCCTCGATATATACAACTAAAAAGTCCGCAATGTCTTCGTACTGGCTGACAAGGCGCTGAAACGCCGCCAGACGCGTCATGAATGGCGGTCAGGAGCAGCTGCCAAAGTTGAGGATGAGCGGTCTCTTCCCTTTCATGCAGTCCAGGATCCGGACCTGCCTCCGCTCGTGGATCAGCATCACCTCGGTGTTGGGCGCAGCGCTCCCGAGGTGCGCAGATTTGAGAAAGTCCAGTTTCTGTCCGTACCACACCGCCCTGAGAGACTCCAAGGTGAACATCTTGTTGGAGTCAGAGACGCACACCGGTGGGTCGTCCGGGCTGTCCTGTCCCTCTCCCATTTTCAGCAAGACTTTTTTCCTAATGCACAAGAAATCCAGGAGCCACAGCATGACGGCGGCCAGCAGGAAGCGGGGCAGCAGCATCAGGCAGAGGGCTGCGTGCTTCAGCGTCCTCGCCATTTGGACACCGCAGGAGTCGTGCATCATCTCTTCCCCCTGCCGATAGGATGCGACCGGGCCGGCGACAGAGACAGAGACAGACAACTAGTAGTTAGTCACCTTTACCCATTGGAGAAAACTATCTGACGCACGCAGGCGCTCCTTTTATAGGTACAGCGGCATCTGAATAATAAAAAAAAAAAAAAGAAAAGGAAAGGGAAAAAAACACGCCTCCGGTACCTGCACCGCCCACTCACATGGTGGGGATTACCTCCCGTCCACTCTGGACTCCAAAGATCCACAGCGAGAGGGAGGGAAAAGACAGAGAGTGAGGAAAAAGAGAGAGACCGTGTCCCCAGTCCACATGTGAGGATGAAACACGACAGAGGATGGATGAATTCAGGGCTTAGAGAGACTTGGAGGAGTTTTAATTGGCTGTAGCTGAACGCACGGTCAGTCCCTCTCATGGTTAAGAGAAAAAAAGAAAAGAAAAAGAAAAACATTTGATCTCACTCCATTCTGCCTGTGGACTCGGATACTTTTTATTCATAAGAGCGTGCAGTAGGCGCGGTGGCCACTAGACGGCGCTGGTTTCATACGGACGGTGAGAGTTGGATGAGTCATTCACTGATCTGCTGAAGGCCCCGAACACCTCGTGAGGAAGAGGAGGCAGAATAAACCTGCTGCCACCGGTTTACAAACTGAGAGATACCTAACACAATTAACTTTAACACGTTTAGTCTTTATGTGTATTTTGAGCCCTCAAACTCCACAAGATTTACTATTACACCTTAAAAATGGGAACATTTTGACTATTATTGACCCCAATTAAGACCCAAGGTAATTTGCAAAAAATAAAATTGAAATTAAAATAAATTTAAAAGGCAAAATGAATTTACATTTAAAAATATTGACAAATTCCTGAAAAATTATCAATAATTAAATTACAATTTTCTATTTTTATATTTTATATATTATAATATCGATAATTATTATAATAATCAATTAAAAATGATCAGAATAAACCTGCTGCCACCGGTTTACAAACACAGATACCAAACACACAATTAACTTTCACATGCATTTTCTTTGTGTATTTTGAGCCCCTTAAGCTCCACAAGATTTAGTATTACATCTTAAAAATGGGAACAATATTGACTATTATTGACCCCAATCAAGACCCAAGGTAATTTGCAAAAACTAAAATAAAAATGACAAAATAATAATATCGATAATCATAAAAATTTTAAAAGGCTAAATGAATTTAAGAGCTAAAAATATTGGCAAAATTCAGAAAAACTATCAACTTCATAAGATATATCTGTTCTGTTTTATTCTCTCGAAATTACCTTTAAGAATAAAATGTTGAAATGTTTTTGGCACATATGTCAGGTCAAGTCAATGTTTATTTATAAAGCACATTTTAAAAGACAGCAGTCAAACAAAGTGGGGTGCATGGGATAAATAAAAGAAGTAATAGATAGAGAACAATGAATAATGAAATTAATAAAATACAGACAGTTAAAGAATAAAAGCTACAGTGCCTCTGAATTCTGTGTGCTTATTTATTAAAAACAAGGGAGAAAAGGTGGAGGTGGGTCTATAAAGATGATTTTAAAGACTCTTAGGTCTGAGAGACCGGGTATACTGTTTTTAACCGATGAAAAGGCCCTGTCACCTCTAGACTTGAGTCTGGTTTTCAGGACGCTCGACAGTAACTGGCCAGAGGACCTTAAAGTCACATTAAACCTTTTATTCACATATGTTGAATAAAAGGTTAAATTGATATATTTCTAATTTTTAAAGCTATTTTTTATGGACTTTAAGAGATAACAGTGAAGAGATTTGCTCTAAGCATCCATCACATATCAAACCCTAAAACCTTTCTGCCAATCACGTATTGTTTTCCCGATGCTACTAAACAATCGATTATAACTCAAGGACTTGAGTCCAGCAGTCCAGAGCCACAACCTGTTCCCACAACTTTAACCCTCCTCCTGTGTTAGGGTCCGCACTGACTTGTTTTTGATTTTAAATGCTTAAAAGAAACACATAAACGAGCTTTTTTGCATCTAGACTTTTTGATTTTATCTCTATTCCAACAAAATAAAAATACAAATATCCTTAGTGCACTGTCAGGCACCACACTGACAGTCAGATCCTCCTCTAATCATATGAGATTTAGGAAATTCTCATTTTTCCATGTATTTCCCGGCACAATAGGAAATAGGAAGGTTGTGGTCAAGTCAATCACTCTCAAAACTTTTACTTTTTCACTGGGGTGGCCAAACTGCACACATTTCACACAACATATAGAAAAGTATAAAAAAAGACACTCTATTTAGATTACAATTTAAAGAATAAAGTGCCTTAAAGTCTTTTAATAACTTGTAAGATTAAAACTATCAAATGGTTTTTTTTTCTAGAGTGATACGATTTCGATTTAAGAACAAAAAGCTGTACCACTCTGCTTTTTTTGTATAGCTGTACTTTAATTTTCTTCAAATAAATCTGACTACAAGTTATTATTACTTTTTAAAAATTCAATTAATCAATTATACGTAATCACAATGCAAGTCCTCAAAGTAATTTGATTTCATGCAATCAGGATACTTCTTCAAAAAGCAATCAAAGTACATTTAATCAAAGTACCTATCTGAAAACTAATCAGATTACGTGTAATAAGAGTACTTTCCTAACAGTAATCTAATTTTATGTGCTCAGGTTAAGTTTCCAAAAGTAATCAGATCACATGGTCACGATCAGGTTACTGTCCCCCTAAGGAGTCAGAGACCCCCTTTACTCTCTCCCCCTGCTTACAGGGTACAGAGGGTACAAAGGGTATTATATATCTGTGGTTCGAACCACTCACAGCCGGATTTTCTGTTCTTTTCTTATCTGCTTTCTGTGATTCCTGTGGAAGGAAGTCATGAATAAAAATGTTAACTTGATCCAAGCCACATAATTGGCTGTTTTCCCCCAATCTTGACGGCTGGTATCAGTCTTAATCTCTGTGAGTTGTTCTCACTCACCTTTAACTTATTTTTAGAGTAAAAAAAAAAAACACATATTAGCCCATTTCCTCCATCTCTCCTTTTTTTCCTGTTCACTTTGAAATGATTTATTCAGATTCAGACAAAGTTAAGTATTTATTTCATGTCTCTCGAGGACCCTTTTCCTCCACCGGGTCGTCAGTCCTATTTTTTCCTCTCCGTGAGTGTGAGTACACCTAATGAATAGCATTTGTTTACTCCTTTTTATCACCACATGCCAATCGTAACCACCAACACTAAACAAGATGTTTGATTCCTGTTTACATTTTTGTGTGTGTGTGTGTGAGTGTGTGCAAAAGTGGCAACAATCAAATCTTCTTTGCTTAATCTTTCAGGACCCGAGAATATTTAAGACTCATTTTAGCCGGAGTCTTACTTTTGCAGCTTTTACTATCACTTTACTTGTCTAAGATCATACCAAATCAGAGGTGGCATTTGAGACATTTCAGCCCAACATTCCCGCTGAGCAACAGACGGCTTTTAGACATCTTGATTTTTTTAGACCTAATTTCAACCGCCTAGATTCTGTATATTTTTAGATGAAATTTAGACGTTGTACTTTAACCCATTATTCGATAACTATTTATTTCGAAAAGCAACTGTGAGTCGCATAACTGATCTCCAAGTACTTAACCAAAATAATTACGATAGCCGTTAAGAAATATACAGTGTAATATAGATATAACCAGCTAGTCTAAACCTGGTCTAAATTTAGACGTCTAAAAAACCTTTTACTTTTAGACCTGTTGTAGCCTGATTTTAGACCGTCGTCTAGGCTACATTTAGACGTCTATTAGACCTCTTTTAGACCAAAAAAATGCCATATTGGAAATGCTGATTTAAAGCTCCTGTGAGGACTTTTTGACATTGATGAAATAGACCAAAATTCATATTCATATTTCTTTTCTAGTTCTTGCTTGTTGTTGGTTGCACAAAAACCAACCACCATGATGGTAAAAGCATGTTCTGTGTGTGGTGCGCCATACAGGAAGTCCTTCACCAATAAAATACTTGCATCTTAGCTCACATAGTAGTGATTCAGAGCTCTTGGGAAACAGTAGCATTAGGGGAAACAGTGGCATTATTCATCAGTCAGACTCTTTCACTTTGTTTTCTGGTGATAAGACAACCTCAAAAGTGACCTTACATGTCATACAGAAACTGAATTTGTGAGAAGTACAGCAAACAGCCAGGAAGTCAGAGTACACTGAGACTTAAAGTAGAATTCCTGGAAAAAATATTGCTTTTGTTTTCTCTTCCAAACAAAGTTGGCTAACCCTGAAAGTTTGTTTAAAACCTGATAGACAGTCTGCTCGAGTTTCCTGTCCTTGTTTGGCCTTTCTGGAGTGATGTCATCAGCATCGCAGCGGTCGGTGCTTTTTCATTTCACTGAAGGAGAACCGGTTAACAAAGCGGAGAAACTAAGATTGCAGTTATAGTAAATCTTTTCATTTGCAAGTACTTCTCCGTGGAGCACACACGCAGACGCGGCACAGTGGTGCAGGCTGACTGGAAGCACATGGAACAATTTAGCAGCTGTTGCATTGGAGACCTCTGACCGTGTTCACAGAACTTTTAAAAAGAACAGCAGACAACCCAGAGAGGAAAGGCCGTAACACACCAGATGTGCGACAGCTAACACGTCTTACTTCTAAGCTTCTTTCACACAAACATCTGCGAGAGTGGGGCCCGATTCATTTAGTCAACAGAGTTGCAGAGAGAAAAGCCAGGCGCCATCCACTTTGAAAAAGTCATTAACTGGCAACAGTTACTCTAGTGGAGATGTTGTGTAAGACATTAGCTACACATGTTTCACACAAAAGAAGCTAAGATGTCAGTTTTTACCACCCAAGAGACGGACACAAAACATTGTGTACTTTGCTAAACTAAATCTCATCGTTATGTAATGTTTTGGCGCCTCAGTGTGAGCCTCTTTTCAATCTGTCACAGTCTTATGTTTACATCTAAATGCAGGATATACGTGTTTCTAAGAAATAAATTAATGTAACACAGGAAAAGGACAAGTTTATTGTCTACACAGCACAAATACAGTCCCAAACTCTGATACGCACAGTTTGGAGGAGCCAGACGAAGTGACGCAACAGCATTTCAGTCAGAGAGGATACATCACTTTGATGGGACTATGTTTTCTGACCCCACTACAGCCCTGTATACCTACGCTTATGATGCATTTGTTAAAATAACAGCCTGTAAGTCAAAACATTACATGATGAGACACTAAAGAGGTGATTTAAAATTCAAACTTTGTGTTAAACAACGACACCCAGCTACTCAAGGGCGTCAGAGAGGTCACTTCATATTAATTTGCATGTGAAACAAAACTTTAAAGTGCCTATCAACCAGGTACTTAATCAACAGTAAGTGATCGTTAGATTAGATCACTCATAATGTTCTCTGCAACAACTTCCGGCAAGTTCTTTTCAAAATAAAAGCACCAGTCTTTGTAATGTTATTTTCACACATCACATTACCATAACGCTTTTAAAGTAAGATTAATGGGATATTCCAGTATAAAATTAAGTTAGGGTCAACACACATCATTTCTTTATGAAAATGCAATCAGACTGAGATGCTAAGGCAGAAGAACTACCGTGTCTGCAGTGCAAAATGATCAATATGATGATTCAAGGAAATGATAAAGTTATGATCATAAATGTTCTTCCTTGAGCTGCGTCACCCCGCTGCAGTCGATGGACTCGCCCGGAGGTCTCCTACAAACAAGTGGCTGCTGGAAGAGAGAAGGTGAGTTGTGTTTAGTCACTTTGCTAAAAAAAATTGCACAAAGTTAAAAAGATGTTTGGTGCTGTTTAGGTGCTGTTCTGAGCATTATTTGTGGCTATAGAGTGGCGTTTTGGTTGAGGTTTGTTTATGGCTCCTCGGACCGCTGTGTATTGCTATGTGGTCGTTACTTAAGTTGGTATAACTAGAAAAGCAAGCGGTCGGCAACATTCATCTCTCGACAGGATGTCTAACTCGGTGTTATGGTGTGTTTGACCTTTAATTAATTTTACGTTGGAATATCCCTTTAAGAAGGGGTCATTTACACTAACCAAAGCGCTACATATTTTAGCTTCCCATCAAGGGCTGTGCTGACTGTTTTTTTTTTTTTTAAACCAAAATTTCACAACAGCCTCATTCAAAATAACAAACTCTTCCTTTATGTAGTCACGGCTGAAGTGGTTGAACTGTAACTCGCTGTGACATGGCTGAAAAAAAAAAGGTGATCGAATAATTATTTTACACCCCAGCCTCACAAAATTGACATTTCACATTTTGTAATCATCAAAAGTCGGACTAGATGTGGTCGTGATGAAAGTTTCCGGGAAAAAAAGACCAAAAGAACATTTTCCATTAAAATGGATGTGACTCAGATACTGATGTGCAAATGAACCGCCCTCGCTCAGGCACTCAAATCTAGCTAAATGAAGACACGCTGTTTTTTTTGTTTTTTTCCACGAGGCCTATCATTCTCACCCTACCATGCAAACCCTGCCCCTTAATTCCCTGATTTAGCATTGCCTAATCCTCAGCATGGCCTCCTCTCTTTGCAAAGAAGCATTGGATATGATAGCAGTAGGAAAAGCGGCTTGGTTTAAATACTTGTTACTGATCTAATCGCTGTTAAACTAAAAGCAGGTTTATATTGTTTTCTCACATTGAAAAAAGAAAGTAGAAAAATCTAGAACAAAAGGAAATAGGATAAGTGAAGAAACATTTCAAATTACCAAGAAAACTGGGAGTAAATTGCAATGTCACAACACTTGTTCAATTTCCTTCATAGTTCATTCAAATGCTGCCAAAAAAGGTGTTCACAAGGAAAGCAAGAAAAGTTACTCATCAAGCTCTGAGGGCATCTGGCGTGTACCAGAGAAATCACTTAACACTTGGCGCTCTGTAATCAAGAGTTCCTGTGAATTTAGTTGATCCAGACCGCTCTGTTAAACTGTTGCTGTGATCTGGATTAGACCACTGGCGTCTTTTGGTTGTTTACAACTCGGCTAAAAGGGGAGAAGAGAGCATGTGTGCTGGCCAGTGGTGGTTTCATGAATCTGATTTTCCCAGAATCATTGGGCCTCTGTTCTGGTTCAGCCTCGTGTGACCCAGTCTGCAAGGTTATCGCTGAAACACTAAGTCTTCCAAGCTCATTAAAGTAAGAAAGGATACTTAATGAACAAACACTTGGCAAAGGGGTCTCTCCAAATACTAGCCATGTCCTCATCTCATGTGTACATGTGTTGACCTTTGACTTTTGAAGTGGTCAAGGAGGGATGAGTAGGTTTGCCTTAACTTTCGGGATTATACTTCAAATACAAACAACTTTATTAATCCTTCTAGAGGCAAGTGGTTTGGTACGACTTAGAGCTAAATGCATACTGATATTAAGCACACTGATAATTAATCAAAATGACAAATCAATAGCCGGTCACTATGGTTGATTGGATCCCTTATGCAGTGAGTTGCACGCCAAAATGAAGCATGTTGAACTGAGTATTTTCTAAAGATACCTCTGCTTTGAGCTCATTTAGCTGTTATGCACATTGAACTAAAATTTTCAAGCTTACTTAGCTGTGTATTAAATATTTACTAAGCCAATTTGTTATTATAACTTACAGCATTGAAGAATTCTTAATCTAGCTTAGTTTTTCCTCATGCAAATGCACCTGAATCATTTTCAAACTAACTAGGCTGCTTTTATTGACATCAAACTGAACATTTACAGTGATAGTATGCTTAAACAAGGTGAACAAACTTCCTAAAAGTGTTTCTTGTGGGTGTTTGTATCATTTTCATCTCTCATACACCATGTTTTCCATCTTCAGTTTGGTAGATTTCCTCTTCCTTAGAGATGGTATGAGCAGAGGAAGTCTGCTAGTGAGCCAGTACATTTACATGTGGTTTAAAGAAATGGATTTATTGCATTAGTCCATTAGACCGATTCAAACCAGGATAATGCGATTGGTGGTCAATGTTGTCTTCCACATATACAGCTCAATTGGACTGACATTGGCCTGGAAGTTCAAAGTTGAACAGCATGAATGCGTTGCCAGAAAGCTGGTAGTAAATGCAACCTTGAAAGAAATAAAAAAATACGAAATTTTCCTATTGCACAAAAAAAAAAACCCAGTACAAAAGGCTAGTGATGGGCACTGCAGTTCTTTTAGATATACTGAATCAATAGAATCAGTTTACTGAAAAGATTTGTTCAAAAGATTCGTTCACCAAATCACCTAATCTCTGACCTCCTGAACTGATACACAGCTGAACAGTTCAGGACCGGGAGACGAGAGTGTTTGGCTGTGTTGCTTTGGCAAACAGGCTTGTTGTTGACTTATAAACTTTTTATAAGTCATGGTGTTTTAAGTGTACTGTCCTATGGTATGCTGTTTATTATCAGGTCTGCTTGGTGAATTGGGCTCAGTGAGTGATTCGTTCACTGAAGGTTTAGAAGAATTCACACTGAACCTGCACTGTTCCCTCGCAAACCGCTGCAGTGATAGGATGCTGCAGGTTTAATGCTCTACTTGTTACATGCTGTGTCCTATTGTATGAAAGTTGTTGTGGCGGCAATTTAGCAGTAAGAAAAATGTATTTTTGTCCGACAACAATGATACCGTAAGTCGTCCAGTTAAATCAAGCTATGATCGTAGCTTGACCTAACGGTGCATGTAGACATACTGAGTGTGCCTTAACAGATGGCAACGGTCTGCTATCAAGAAATAACAGACCAGTTCTTTTAACTGTCGCTACATAACGACCAATCAGAATCAAGAACTGACAGTAGCCGTGTAATAAAAGCAGAATAAATGTACTTTTTTTGGGGAAAAAAGGACAAAAAGTCAGTAAAGAGATATAAAACCTAAGGAGAAATGTTTTACTATTTAGTATGACAATATCTGTTCTGATGGCAACAGAGGAAATTTACTTTGAAATACTCTCCGCCTTGCAGGGATCTGCGGGTTACAAAAGAAATCCAAATCTCTTTGTTTTAAAGCACTGATCTCAGAAAAGATTTTGACAGATTAAAAGTTCCCAACTCTAATCACCTTACCTCTCTGAAACGTTCGTTCTGTAAGTTTATTAGGAAAATTTTTGCCAGTTTTTTGTCCTATAAAACTTTTAAATTCCCAATAAGACTAATTTAATTAAAGTCTTATAAATGGAGACACCACAGTCACATGATACTGCGTAAATTTAACACAACAAATCCAAGCATAGAAAATAACTTTCTGTAAGCTTTAGAAGTTCGTCTGATTAGTTTCCTCATTTGTTTCCAAGTATAAGTTGGAATCTTTTCTACTGCATAAAATGCTCTTTTTATTGTGTAAATACCTCTCTCTTTTTTTGTATTTAAATCTCCCAAACCCGCCACCACAATCCCACAGCTACTGCTACTTTTCACATTCTCCACCGCCGCCTTGACAAGTATGGCTTAATGAAACACTGGCAGCCTGAGTCTTGATTCTGGTTTTCCTTTTTTCTTTTTCTTTTTTCTTTTTTTTTTTTTTTAGAAATAAACTTGCTGGAACTCTACTTTCATTAGACACAGCCTGGATCTTGGCATGGCAGCCCGGGTCACACAAGGACATCCCAGAATAGGAAAAACAGCCCGGACTGAGCCTGCAGCAAAGCACTGAGAGTGGCAGGGATCCAGCTAAAACCACTATTAGTACACTGGCCACTGGAGAGTCAGTGAACAAACATGTCTTAGGTAGGAAAAAAAAAACCCACACACACCTATAAGACGAGTTTTAGGACAGTCACATGACGTATTAACACGTCTCTGTCATCTTTCATGTTAAGCGAATAGTTAAAGGTGAGGTGAGGTTGCAATAAAAGCACTTTATTCACTTTTCACGGCCAAATAAATTACAGCCTAGTCTCTTATATTCGTCAAACATTTGAGTAGGTTTGTAGTTACCAAGCAACCGCCATGTAGTCCCTTTCAAGCTAATCCGTCTAGGCCGCTGTGGCTGCTTGGAGCCTTCAATGCACACTGATACATCACCTCAGATCACCAGCGTCCTTTTGTCCACAAGAGCGCGGCTGATACACCGAACGCCGTCTGTCTTTTTTCTCTATCACATCACACAGCCCGGTCATTTAGCCCAGAAAGATAATCTGTTGTACTGAAAAGTGTTGAGGAGGAGGGGAGACTTTTTTAACACCCTTATCCCTGCTTTGGTTTGGCTGCTTCTTTTGACTTTTAAGCGTCACCATAACAAAGCAGATAAAGTTGGGACAAAGTGCACGAGCTGAGGTTTGATATACAGCTGCTGCAAGAATCGAAGGATCGTCTTGAATGCCAAATCAACTGAAACACACCCCCAGGCAAGCTGAGCATGAGACTGCTAATATGATTTTTAATTCAGTCTGTGGTGTTTTTACAAAGTAGTCGGTCATCAGAGTGTATTGACAGAAGCTTGTTTTTTATTATATCTCTTAAAAACAGCATGGATGGATGTAAGTTTCAACAAAAGCGCAGCCTCTTGTATCCAAAAAGGCCAAAACAGAGAAAAACTGCACCTAACTCTGTCTAAAAGCACCTGTTGAGCTTTACTCTCACATTTATTCGCTGCTATTTTTTCTTTACGTAACATGTTTTATAAAGCAAACATGACGTAACAGTGCAGTGGTAAGCACTGTTGCTTCACAGCGAGAAGGTTCCTGGTCTAAATCCCCGGCTGGGTGGGAGCGCTGTTCTGTGTGGAGTTTGCATTTTCTCCCTGTGCATGCATGGACTCTTTCTGGATACTCCCAAAGGCATGCTTGTCAGGTTAACTGGTGACTGATTTACCTGTAGGAGTTGGGTGTATGTGTGCATGACGGTTTGTACATGCGAGCTCTGTGATAGACTGATGACCTGTTCGGGATGCAACCAGCTGGGACCCCGAAAAACCGCCTCAGAGGGCGCTTACATATTACCGTGGTAGAGACAAGGGCATGTGTAAAAGTGTGACTGACTTAATGATCCCCATTTAACAAGAGTCTGACTTAAAGAAAACTTTGAATATCTGCTTGACAGATACTTGTGTTAATTTGAAGCAGACACTATGGTTATGAAAGTTCAGTCAGTATGTGAACATGTTGTTCCAAAACATTCATTTACTGCCTTAGTCTGACTGAAACTGGACTTCACATTAGTCTGACTAATCTCTCTCATAACTGGATCAGCATACATGGATAAAGTAGTGTGAGATTGATTTTCGCTTTTATCTGTCACATTAAATATTCAGAAAAAAAAGGATTTATTTAACCCTTAAAACTAAGTGGGATGAGCTTACATATCAGAAGAAAGCACTTGAGCATCTCGAGATCAATAATTGCAAAGACATCTCTGTCCACAGGGGGCGCCAATATTGACACAAACTGAAGTTCTTCACAGGAACTTAAACCTCAACTTCACTGAAATGTAAACGGCTAAACATAAATAAATGTAATGAAAAAGAATTACGTTTTTCCCCTTAAAGCTCCAATAAGTAGTTTTTTAAAATTCATGAAATAGACTGAAATTCATGCTTATGTCTTTTAATTACAAACAAAAGCAAACAAGACCATCAATGACAAGACAGAAGATTTTTATTATCCTGTTTTTATTGTCGGAAACAAGCGTGAGGGGGGAAGGTTCAGTCCTTGCAGCTCAAAAGATAACCTTTTTACTACAATTTCCACGTAAAACATCAACAATAAATGATCATTTTGACAGTGAAAAGTCAGCAGAGAGAAATATGTTCTCATAAATCAATATTCAAACATGTAGCAGACAAGATAAGCAAAAGCATGTTGTCCACAGGGGGCGCCAAAATTGACACAAACCCGAAGTTCCTTTCAGGAGCTTTAAAGACTAATGTTCATTTTGACCTTTTTTGCAGCCAGTCAGTGGGGGAGCACCGATAGATTTTTGTTTTCATGTTTCATGATAATTTGTGGCATCTATTATCTGTGACAGTCCACAGCCAGCAGCTGCTTAGCTTTAAGTTAACAATAGCTAACCCTTGGCAAAAGTGTTGAAACGTACGTACATGTCCACTAAAGGCTGTATAGATGAAACAAAGCTTAATCTCAATTAGAAACAGGAGGACAGCTAGCCTGGCTCGACCCCGAGGTGATTAATCTGTGTTTCCTCATAAATACCATATATGTCTATAAGCTCCATGTTCTCATGTAACTCTTGGCAAGAAAGTAAACATATGACAAAGTGTACATTTCCCATACATCCGGCGGTTCCTAGGGGAGTGTAGGAACACATACACAATTGACGACGCGAGGTCAAGAGGAAAGCAAATATGTCGATTACCCAACATATCCTACTATGACGCACAGAAAAGTCACATTAACATATGGTGAAGACATTAAATGCAAACATTTAGATTGGACGCGGTCCAAAGTGACAAAACATGTTCTCACTTATTAATGCCCTTGTATAACCACTCTCTTTAATGAGACCAGATGTATGGGCCAGTGCTAAAAGCAGTATTTCCATTAGTGCTGAGAGTCAATGTTAAAAGAGTCATGAAAATGATCATTCAAGTTGAAGTTTTATACATCCGTGTATCTGCATGTATGGAAGGTTTCGCATATCTAAAAAGAAACAAGCTTTTATATGCAAATTAGTGGAAAACTTGTGCACGTTTATTGCAACTAACTGTCCTTCTCAGTTACTCCAGTGGAGACAAAAAGGAAATCTTTCAGAGCAGGAACAAGAGAAAAAGTTCCATAATCTATTGGGATTGCTTTTGTATTTTTCAGTCTGTTTATTCTTAATCTATTCCCCTTCCAATTTCGACTTACTCCACTCAATGTCTCCTTGCTTATGCTTCCAGCCTTTCCATTATCAACTCCCCCTTCAGTGCTGTTATCTGTCTGGTAACTTATGACAGCTGAAACGGACCATGTGAAAACCCTAAACTGGCAATTAGTAACATGCAACATATAGTGAGCTGTTGCCCCTCAGAAACCTTTGCACTCAAAAAGCTAATGTGAGTTTCTTCACTAAGTAAAGCAGAATGTTTTGCATAATTTATAGGCCACTTTCCTGCTCCCTCATGAGCTGTTTTCACCTCACAGAAGAGCGGTTTAGATGGCTCAGGGGTCACAGACTCACATGGAGTCGAGGCTGAGCCTCTGAACAGTCTCTGCAGTATTAAAACATTTGTTCTGTGTTAACAGCAACATTAACATTAATGGGTTTTTGTCTTCTTGTTAGTCTGTAAGGATTTTGTTGTATTTCCTTTTGCACACCACTGCGTTGAATAAATCAAGATATCACATCTAAGCAACAACATTTTAGAAAACCACATGCTTATTGTTGTCCCCTCTTGCATGGATGCAACATTTTTGGTCAGAGGCAGACCCAAGCAGCACGTCTTTATCATTTTAATCCACTTACAGAGGAGCCACATCTTGATAACAGCTTTCCAACACAGTCGGAATTTCTTTTCTCCGTTTATTTTGACCGGCTTTTATATTACTGTTTTGTTTTTACTGCCCTCCTTGGCAGAATCGATAGAAAAACCTCACAGGATATTGTCTGAGGCCACATACAGCAAGACCACTGCGGGACTTTCCCCTCAAGAAACGGAGTCTTAAATACCCATCAGTGCCAAAGAAACTAAACGAGGGAGTTTCCACTACGCTAGACGAGACTGCGAGGAGATTATGACATTTAAAAAAATTATAGTTGAGCCATGTCCTTTTTCCGATTTGATATATTTAAAGTCAGAGGATGTACAAACAAGGGTAATTTAGGACCCCTTTGAAACGTAATTGGATACAAATCAAGCGCTGCCCCAAAATGAAAAACTTGATTGGCTATTTGCCTGTTCAGAGGCGGGACTTATGCTTAAGCCTAATTTTTGGACCTAGTTGTAACAGGCTGTAAAAGATTTTATCTTGCACATTTTCTTTCGTTGGAATCAAAAACATGTTTTCTGCTAATCAGTTTATGTGATCAAATTTGTTTTAATTGCCTCAGTGTGACTAAAACTGGACTTTTAAAATCATGTAAACACATTAGTCTTAATAAAACCAACTACTGTAAGAAACAAGTTAACATCATCTTTCACACACTGTTGACTTACACGCTCTTGTTTGAGTGAGTCTCCATAGAGACAGTGTTTTGAACTCAACTCAACTCAGGAGCTATCTGTTATTGTTTATGTATTGTTGTATTGTGTATTTGTATGTATTCTCTTTGTTTATTTGTTTGTGTCTATGTATTATTATAATTATAATTTTTATTTTATTTATTTATTTATTTTTTTACATGGGGCGTATTTTACATATCAGATGTTTGCATTGATTTATTGTGAGTTGGTTTAAGGACCCCAGGAAGAATAGCTGAGGCACGGCCAAGGCTAATGGAGATCCCAAATAAATCAAATCAAAATATATCACTTTACACACAACAGAGTTGATCCAAAGTGCTTCACAACAACACAGAGGATAAACAAAACAAAAGAACAAACAGACGACAAAGAAGAAGAGCAGACTGAGTGACAGTAATAATAATAACGATAGCAATAAAAACATTGTTTTCAATACCATCTCTATCATTATCATTCATAATAGTAATAATAAAAAACAATAATAATAATAACAATAGCAGCAATAATTATAATAACAATCATAATAACACAGATCTACCGACCTACAGAGCTCACAGAGCCTACATGGGAGATGGCTGAGCTATAAAAGTTAGGGACAGTGAAAAACTAGGGAGTAAAAGTGGGTTTTAAGATGAGTCTTAACTCTCAGTGGTGGCGGAGAATCTGATGGTGGGAGAAAGAGAATTCGCATTTTTGGGAAAGCAGGACATTAATGAAGGCATTAAAAAGGGAAAATTTAGGAATTAAATACATATTTTACAGTGAAATTAATTCTATTTGTTCATTTGTTTAGGCTACATTTTAATACTGACTGGTGGCAACTTTTCAGTAGAGTCCAAAACAGAGAGAATGAAAACAAAA